TTTACAGCTACCAGCCCTGGCGCTGCGTGTCGCTATTTACAGTAATTAAGTGTTTTTATTGAATGTCAAGATGTTTGAATCACCATGAAATTCAATTGTTTTTATGAAATTAAAATTTTAAAATTGTCCTTTTTTTATTAAAAACGGTAGGTACCTACTTATTTACGCAAGAAGACGTCGGTTCGAATCCGACCGGATCGAAGGAATTTTTTCTGAGTGTTTTTTCTGAGTGTTCGATCTTTGTATTAATAATTATAACAAACTAGTGGAGTAATTTCATCATATCAATATCAATTCAATAAAAATTTAATTAATATAATGGAAGTTTTAGTAGCAGGAGAGCTCCTTGTGAATGAGTTCGTCCAGGGAAAAACTGCCACCTTACCTATTTTTGCCGCCAAGCAGTAATGTCACCATTACTGTGTTCCGGTTTTGAAGGGTAAGGGTGCTGGTGAAATTACAGGCACATGGTACATGTCAACTTATGTCTCAGGACGACGGGCGCAGTGGCAGTGCCCTCACATCTTTGTTATTTAAAGCTCCGAGGACACTGCAATTGTCATGGACAGGCAACAAAAACAAAAAGCCCCACTCGTATGAACGTGGGTATGAACCTATTAAATACGATTTAAAATTACGCAAATGGTTAAAGGCAATTAGAAATTTACCATGAGTTTTCGGTGAAGGAATACATCGTAATGAAACCTGGGTCCCAAGCCTGCTAATTTTTAAATCATGTCAATTGTGTGTCAATACCACAGAACAATAAATACAGTAGAAGTGGTTAGTTAGCGTCTGACGCGTGCCAACTACAGGTTTCGAACCTATCGGACCTATCTGAGCACAGTCCGCCACTTTCGCTTTGTATGGTATGATTGTGGCATTCTTTTGTGCAAATTCTCTAAAATCCTAGAAAATTGCCTTATTGTGCTGTTTTGCAATGCAAAAATGATAACCGCACCAAAAATAATACCCATGAAGGTATTTCATATCATCAGAAAGTCATATTTTAATAAATGTTCAATTTTCTGTTTATCGAAATATTTTTTTCGTTACAAGTAAGGAAAGAAAAACTTACACCCCTGCAATAGGTCGCTTCTTTTTTGGAGAACAAAATTAATAACTCCAATTCGTCGTCGTTCAGCAATTAACCGCTAGATGGCAGCATATTGATTGAAATTTCAATATAATATTATTTTAATGGTTGATTCTAGGTATTGATGGTATTGAACTTTCAACGGTATGCCAACAGGGTAAAGTTTAAATTATATTTACAATCCAGAATTTGTTATTTCTTAATCGACTTCAAAAAAAGGAGGAGGTTCTCAATTCGACTGTATGTTTTTTTGTATGTTCCGCGATAACTCTGGTATTTGTGAACCGATTTTCATGATTCTTTTTTTGTTGGAAAGAGGGTACGTCCATAGTAGGCCCATTTCATTTTGAAGAAAATCATCCACCTCTAAGGGAGGCTGTTCACGCCTGAAGATTCATTTTTATAAATAGCGCCTAAATTTTATTATAAAGAGCAATTATTTTGATGGTTGATTTTGCTATTCTCTAATTCAAGGCGTTTCTCTCTCTCAATATACTTTGAGTAGTGAGAACCGATTTTTATTATCTCCTGTGTCAAGTCCTGTATAGTGGCGAACTAGGGGATATTTCAATAAAACTTGGCAAATAGACGTAATTCCACATACTTTTGAGGTCGGTTTTTTTAGTACTCTGTACTGAAATTATTTTTAAATTTGAAACTACGATCAATCAATATCAAGATTTTGTAGTGTTTCAAATTAAGAATGTGTGAGTCTTGGCGACATCGGTTCTGATAGTAATCAAGGCTTAAGGCATTTACATTGTTTTTTTTCTTCCATGGACGATACAATGTCAGTGGTAGGCTTTTGAACGATTCGTATTCTGTTAACCACTAAGTTACTATTCAACAGCCATTACAATTATTTGGTATTCTGGTTTTCAGTGGCGAATCGAAGGCCGTACATTGAGACATGTGTAGTAATTTTCATTATAGTTTTAGTAAAGCAATATTGATAGTGATTGAACGAATTAATGACACCGTTGCCATTCCACTGATACTCTAATGAGACTCAACTGCCATTGCAACTATGTCTTGTTCTCATTATGTCGTGAAGTTTTATCTATCGTTTGCGACTGTTGTGTCTAGCTATTCCCACTAGATCGTAACGACAATTTATCGATTCACGGCAACCGCTTTGTCGTTTGCACGACAGAATCTTTTGAAGTTGCAATTATCTGTCGTCACATTTTTATCGTGACGTTTTATCTATCGTCTGACGACTGTCGTTAGCTCTTCCCATTGTCACGACAGTCTGCCATCGTAACGACAAAAAGTCATGAACGACAGTTGATCGTGTTGTGCTATAGTGTGAACAACTTCATTTAAATATACAAGGCACGACACTTGAAACTGCACGACTATCTGTCATCACGACATAATAGGAACGCGCCCTTACAAACATTGTCATAATTGCAACATAATCTCAGTGGGGTCTCAGTGGAATTAACATTGACCAATGGTTTCAAGAAAATTAGTCCCTATTGGACCAGCGTGGCGGACTATGGCCTAAACCCTCGCCGGAGAGGAGACGCGGATGTGTCATCAACCCATTTATACGTCCCAATGGAGGGCCATTGGGACGTATAAATGGGTTGATGACAATTGACTATATTTACAAGCTGTTGACAACCATACAACTCTACGTTCCGAGAAAAATATAGGCATAGACGTGGCGCAGGCAAGAGTTGGACTGCTTGTCTCATTGTCGGCAATGTCGCGTATCACTCCAATGGACTTAAGCACCATAAAGGGAGGCACCATAGTAAACGAAACGGGATCGGCTTGAATATATCATATTTTACCACACTTGTCGCATTAATCTGACTGGCCGTCGACGCGGCCTTCCAGCTCTCGCGCTGCCATTCGGATGTGATCGGGAAACGGGGAAACGGATTCGTTGCCAGTATGAGTCGAGGGGCATCGTCCGAGCGAAAGCGAAATGATCGTTTCTTTTTCAGTCTTATTACTAGTTACTTATACGTAGGTTAAAATGAGAGGTGCCCCACTTTTTGAAAGGGTCTCCTAATTTAAAAATTATTTTACTACGAATAATTCGTATGGATATAACTAGTTTAATCCATTAAATGTAAATAAAACCAAGATCAATCTATCTAGAGTTTCTTGCTCGTTCTTCTCAGGGAGGTCAGTGTAATGAACGAGCAGTAGCTTAAAAAAAGACGTTTTCAAGTGTAAAAATTTTACCTATGGAATAAATGATTCTTGTCGTGGAATAAATTAATGTTGCCAATGATTGACAATGCTTTCAATCATTTCAAGGACATAAGGCCGTTTCTAACTGGCTCAAGCCGATTCGGCCCTGACAAGTGTGGTGATGTTGTGTGGTGTGTGACCTTTCCGGCGTGAGAATTCTAATCCGCCTTAACCGAATCAATCTTCTGTCTTGATTTATACGCATTACATCATTTACGTTCACCCGACCACTAGGGTAAAACGCCACTAAGTCGATATCCAATTGTCAGACTCAACGCCTCCGTTACAGCCGATTTAAGGTCATTAACCCTATTTCATAGGTTGTTTAAGAAACTTGGCGTACGAAGAGAAATTGGAAATAAGTACCGTCTGTATTGTTGCAAATCGGAGCAAATTTAGTTTAGTAATTTCAAAGGTAAATCTATCACACAAAAATACAGAAACGACAATGAAACTGATATGTAATTTCATACAAAAAAAATGTAATAATACCTACGGTAAGTATAATGTACAACAGTAGAGTTCCTTGTGAAAGAGTGCGTCCAGGGAAGTACTGCTACCCTACTTATTTCTGCCGCCAAAGAGTAAAGTGAGCATTATTACGTTCCGGCTTTGAGGGATAAGGCTGCTGGTGAAATTATAGGCACAGCAGACTTATTAACCTAAGTCTCAGGGTGACGGGCGTACTGGCAGTTCCTCTCAGATCTTTGTGTTTTATAGCTCTGAGTGGCACTGCGACTGTTATGGACAGGCGTGTAGCTTACCATCAGGCGCCGACTTGTCCGTCCCGTCACTTCCGTTGCTCTGGTACTCAAAGTATGGGGAATTATCTATTTTGAGACCAAGTACTTGGTGTAGTAATTTGGTATCACATTATCGCACCATTGGTATAGGAAAGCCACATCTGAAAAGTGATAACTTTTCAGTAGAGCGGTTTAAAGATTCTATAAACAAAATTAGTCATTTTTTTAATCAAGTGACGGGACTGACAAGTCGCACACCTGATGGTAAGCTATACGCCTGTCCATAATAGTTGCAGTGCCATTCAGAGCTTTAAATCGCAAAGATCTGAGGGGCACTGCCACTGAGCCCGTCACTCTGAGACATAAGTTGACAAGTCCCATGTGCCTAGTAGTAATTTCACTAGCATCCTTGCCCTTCAAACCTGGAACACAGTACTGCTAACATTAACTGTTTGGCGGCAGAAATAGGTAAGTTGGCAATACTTCCCTGGAAGAACTCTCTCACAAGGAGATCAACTGCTTCTAGTCGACAGTTCTTGTTTTATATTTAAATAGGAAAATATTGTGTTAATAATTTAAATAAAATAGATTTGTCTTTATTTCAATTATTAACGTAATACGTACAATGATATGTAGTATTTGCCTAATGCGTAATAAGCTTATTCAGAATGAAATTCCATAGTCAAATATTGAAGTAAGAAAATTATTGAAGAGCTTCGTACTTTCAATGTGATCGTATTTCGAAGCAATCTTGGCTTAATTAACTTCATGCAGGTAGAGTTCAACAAAAGTTTACCCTCCCCACATCGATGCCGCTTCTCGTTTGTTTACAAAGAAATAAAAGCATACCCGACAGAGCGATACTGTCGTTGCCTAAAAATTGCTTTGAAGACGAACCAAAAGAAAAAATACGTATGCGTGTTACATATCTAACGAATATTAAAACTTACTTTTAGGTTGTCAGCCGTGGCACAGCTTTCAGTCGGAGGATGTACTGTCAGGACGGTCAATCAGCAGCAACCATGGGACCTGTAAAGGGCCAGAAAAGTTGGTTTTTTTGAAAAAAAAAAACAAAGTAGATCTTAAAAACTTTGTAACTTCAGTAGCAGTAGAGCTCCTTGTGAAAGAGTTCGTCCAGGGAAGTACTGCCACCTTACCTATTTCTCCTGCCAAGCAGTAATGTCAGCATTAAGTAAGGAAAAGGTACAAGTGAAATTATAGATACATGGGACTTGTCAACTTATGTCTCAGGGTAACGGGCGTATTGGCAGTACCCCTCAGATCTTTGTGACTCAAAGCTCTGAGTGGCACTGCAACTGCGCAAAATACTGCAAAAAATAATTCGAGTTAATAAAGAACTTGACTGAAATATCATGTTTTTGCTGCCTAAATACATGCTAAATACCTAGTCCATAAGTACGGAAAGCTATTTTTTAAATAGTCTCTAAAGTCGTGTTTTACCTGGAATTTTTCAGAGCGTACTGAGTCTGGACTATTTTCTTGGGCGGGGAAATGCAGCGGGAGTAATTAATCCTAGATTTTAGATTTATTTATTATCTTGTAAACTTTACATTATTATATGCAATATATTGTATTACAATAATCGTTACAAACAGTAACAAATGTTACATTTCAAAAAATTACAAATATCCAGTACAAGTTTTGTACTACGTAATTTTAACATAGTCAATGTAGTTATGTGAAATAATGTAGGGACATATTAAATAATATAATAATAATTATGGCAAGATAACGATTGTACGCATAAAGTTTATGTAATTTATTCATTTCTGTAAAATAATATTTATACCTATAATCCATAAAAAAAAAAATTACAACAGATATTACAAGACCATGTCCCTATATTCTTCAGTGGAATAATACGCATTATCCAACAAAAAGTATTTCAGTCGATGATCAAATGTTTCATCATTAGGCTCATTTTTGAAGTCAACTGGTAGGTGCTCATAATAAGCCGGGCCGATTACGCGCGACTTTTTTCCGTGAGTGCTAACCGTCGCGGTACGACCCTCCGCTCACGCGATGCGCTCCTCCTACCGCAAAATGGCGGCTATTTGGTTTCGCAAATTAGAAAAGCATTCAGTTTAAATACAAGTTTTTATAAATAAAAATTATTATTCTGCATTGCTAAATAAATACCCTCCGTACTACCAACAAAATTATTTCAAATAAAACGCAGTAATACACCGCAAATCCTGCACTTAAAAAGCACTAATGAAATTTTTGGTGTACTTGGATAAATATGATATATTCCGTTTGAGTGGTTCTAACGTTTACCAGGAAATTACTCCTTAAAGTATAATTTATAAACATTTATATTCAGGGTAAACTTAAAAAACGCTACTTACGGTATGTTTTCAATAAATAAACACCGAAATCACCAGCCCAAACAATAACATACACGATTGTCGTGACGTATTTTTGAAGTAGTTTATTTTTTTTTAATGACAGACCCAGGCATTAAAAACTTTATGGTTTGCTAGAGTAGTTACCGAAATAGCAATTAATATTAGTTCTTTTACCTGTTATAACTTCGATATCCGATAAATCGGTATAAAATCATCACCGGCACCTCTAGGTGTGTTATGCGTCTACGGCTGCATGTATCGCGTGAGCGGCTAGTTTACAGGCGGCTGTTAGATCTATTCATACTATAAACAAAAAACTACCCACACATACATATTATGGAAACATTCTCCAGCTCTGCCGTCTACTAACTAATTAGCGGCTAACTGATAAATAGTCAAACAACCGTTCTAAATAGCAAAAGACATAGCACTAAATTCTCTTTTAAAAAGGATTAAAATTAGTCAATGTGTTCGATTTATCGGAACTTACTCTAACGATGAATAGCTGAGATATCATTAAACAATTTCAACATTCTAAAACTGTGTTATGGTTTCGTATGATATCTCAAAAAAGTATTTTGTCAAAGTTTTAGTCGCGTTTTAATTGGCAGACGGCAGAGCTATAAAACAGAATATACCAGATACGCATTCAGCTTTCAAATTCTGCGCATCCATTTATTCGAGGACTTCGCTGTATTTACTTATGATCTGAAGATGCTCTCGGCAAGAAAATTGAATTGGTTTATAGGTACCTTTTACTTTTATTTTATCGGTAATATCCTGGTTTCCCAACTTATTTATGTATATTCTGTATACGATTCCTACCGACGACACGACGGCTCTTCGCCGCTGAGTCTTTTCCAATACCTTGTCCGTACGAGTAAGGTGACCCTTACCTATTTCTGCCGCCAAGCCGTCAGTAAATTGACCGCATCGAGTATATAACCAGAAATAAAGGCGAAATAAAGGCCATCCAACACTGACGACTCATCTCTCGTTTGCGCAGAGATCACAAATTAGAAAGCTGAAATACTACAGAGCCAACAACTGACCTGTGTTTACGTCTCGGTATATTTCAAAAATATTCTGTATTTATTGTAATAAAGATAATATCTCTAACAATGGGGGATGCTACATTCAGTGGTGTGGGAAAAACAGAAAAATATCTAATTACAAAACAAACGGAATGACATTTCATCGGTAATTAAATATTAAATATGTAATTTTTCAATTTTCATCCATTATAGCAAAGGTCAAGTTAGACTGATCGTTTTGATGTAAAATAATTGACGACACCCGTTAAATGTTTCGAATTCGGGCTGGCCAATGGAATCGCAGTTGTCATCGTAATGATTTGGCAGAATAGTTTTCAAACAAATTAAATGACATTTCGTCTCTATTTCTGGTCATATACTCGATGTTTGACCGTTACTGAAAGGTAAATGTGTTCGTGAAATTACAGATTCATAGGACTTGTCAACTTCAGCCCCTCAGATCTTTACGACTTAAAGCCTTCAGTGGCACTGCAACTGCTATGGATAGGCGTGTCGCGTACCATCAGGCGCACGACTTGTTCATCCCGTCTCTTGGTGTCATATCCCTTTTACATATCCCAAATTTTTATCCTGCGATTGCCTGGACGAAATTACTACATAGCGATAAGGCCGCCTGTTGCACATTAAAATAAATAAACAAAATGTTTATTTCAGTAAAACTATTAACTTTACATTAATAACAATGGATGGTACTTCGTATAAGCTTATCAAGCCTGTGTCAGGAAGCACAGCTCTTCAGTAGATATAAATACACATTTAACATTTTTAACTCCAAAGTGGTCCCATTAATTTTAGGGTGGCTGTTCACAAACCGGGGGGGTTTTAGTGGGGTAGGCCCTCCAGTCTGGAGGGAGAGTCCCCACATAACCCCTGAGTCTCCTTGGGCTCAGGGGTATCCATAAAGACTTCCCCCCGTCAAAAAAAAAAAAAAACAAAAAGGGTCGCTGTTCACGCATGAAGATTCATTTTTATAAGTAGCGCCTAAATTTTATTATAAGCAGCAATTAATGTAATGGTTGATTTTGCTATTCTCCAATTCAAGGCGTTTTTCTCTCAATATACTTTGAGAAGTGAGAACCGATTTTTATTATATTTTAGTGGCGTACTAGGAGATGAATCCGGGTTTGCGCACTACCCGGTGACCGTTTTCAATAAAACATGGTAATTATATGTAATACCACGTACTTTTGAGGTCGGTTTTTTTAGTACTCTGTACTGAGATTAATATATTTCCAAACAATGTCAAAACAAACAATTTTTAACAATTTGCAACATTCTTAACTTCTAAGTTTACATAACATTAACTTACTATTTCTATACTTACTTACAGCTGTTCTATGTGTCACTGTTATTTTATCTGCAGTACCGAGTATTTCATTCATTCATAAAAAAAAAATAGCAGCCTAAAAAAATTGCACGTTATTTTAATGTAAGTATTTACTGTCCTGCATCGTTCTTACATATTTATAACAAGCATTCATTCGTTAATTGTAAATTTTCAGTAACATCACGTTTCAAATAATATGCTAAATTATTTCCACGTACATTTCCCAGACGACGACAATACACAAAAGAGGAATGATACAAGTGAGATGGGAACTGAGTGCGTTATTCAAAAGCCGAGAACGTCGGCAGAGCGTGCACTTGGAATCACAACTTCACAGGTTTGTAGATACTAGAGCCGTGACAAGATAACCTGTTACAAGTAGTGAAATAACTTTGTAAGGTTTTTTCTTATAATACCCAGTGACGGGACGAGCAAGTCAACACGCTTACTCATAACAGTTGTAGTGCCATGCAAAGTTTTAAATCGCAAAGATCTCAAGGACACTACCACTGCGCCCGTCACTCTGAGACGTAAGTTGACAAGTCCCGTGTGCATGTCATTTCACCAGCACCTTTACTCTTCAAAACCGGAACGCAGTAATACTCACGTAAGTAAGGTGACAGTGCTTCCCTGGACGAACTGTTTTCACAAGGACCTCTACTGCTACTAAAATCGTGATAAAAGACGATTCACAATTGGACAACAATGATGATGTTTTATTCCTATTAAAGGTTGGAACCGCTTATGCACGTAGGTACTGTAGATTGTAATGTAGCCTCCGCATCCTACACACATCTAGTTTAGCGAGTTTAAAGTTCATAATTCAAATGGAAACAGAAATAGTGGAAATAAATCCGGTATTATAAAAAATATTTTAAAGTTTTTTGTGATCTTTTAAATGTGCGACCAAGAGATTTTTAGTAACTGGTATACGGGTCAAACATTAGACGAGCAGCACTGCTCGCTACAGCGATTGAGCAAAGAGTGACGACAGAACGAAAGAAAATCAAAATGGCGAGGCAATCGAGTATATAACCAGAAATAGAGACGAAATAAGGACCATCACTAATAAATACCAACTCTCGTTTGCACTGGAATTACAAAATATTCTGTATTTATTGTAATAAAGATAATATCTCTAACAGTAGCGTGCTGTTCCATTCGGTGGTGTGGGGAAAAAACCGCAAAACATCTAATTACAAAACAAACGGAAAGAAATTTCATCGGTAATTAAATATCAAATATGTAATTTTGCAATTTTCGTCCTTTATAGCAAAGC